AGGGTTTTGACTGAAACCCTAGAAGCTCAAGTATATAAGGACCCCTAGGGCTAGCAAAATCGGCCATTTGATCCCTTGGAAGCTTGGAGCCGATTTTTGCCTCTTATCCTCTCTCTTATACATCATTCTCTTGCTTGTGGTGTTTGTGAGCCATTAGAGGTATTACACTTGTGACACTAAGCTTCTTGAAGATCAAAGTATTCTTGCAATCATTGAAAGGTATCATCTAAACTANACAATAGAGAAGCCTAGATCCAAGCTTTAGGGTTTTGTATGAGCACATAGGATTGTTCTTTTGTGTAAAACCCATCAGAAGTAACTTAAAAATTATCGGGCCCTCATATTCAAAGAAAATGAGACTTTAGGCTTAGGAATGGTTGCATAAAGTTTGGACATTTTCTGCACAATTAGACTTGTGGATTATAGTCCTTTTCTGCACATTTGATGTTTGAATAAGCCCCCGGGGGAACATTATTAAGCTTTAGGATTTTGCGCAAAACATGACATGAGTGGATGTAAAACGTGACGTGTCGGGCTGAAGGACCCGATGAGTCTTGAGCAATGTGTATAAAACGTGACGCGTTCCAAGAACATGACATGATATTCGAGCGCTACGTATTCATCTTTGTTTTTAGGAAAGCCTTGATCCATTGGAAATTATCAAAACTCATAGGATAACTAGGGCTGCTTACAAAAGTATAGACGACATGTAAATGTTTATGTGTGTGATTGTATATTATAGGTCCTCACGAATACCTATTTACCGTGATTCATAAATTGTGTTTATTGTTGCGATCAGACGAGTTTCACTTCTCTATATGTGATGCTATATGTTTTGTGGGTGATATGATATGTATGCTAAAATTCTGATTATTGATGTAAGACTATAGTTAGACTATAACATTCACACGACTGATGATTGATGAGTTGTATGCTTCGATATATGTCGTAAAATGTATAGATTTATGAGCTTACTAAGCGTTCCATTTACCCATTTATATTGAACACTTTTCAGGACCCTCAGGGATGGACAAAGGTTGGTTTGACTACAAAGACATCCACAATTATGATTGAATATCATGTATTTAGTTTTTATGTTTTAAAAATAAAAGACTTCGTATATTCTGTTTTAGTTCTTGTATGTCGGTTATGGTCGATGAAGAAAGGGTTATTTTTGGTTATGGAAGAATTATTAAGTTTTATTGGATCTTAGAATTAAATGACATTTTTTTTTAAATTGGACGTTATAAGTTGTTATCAGAGCAGGGTTTGACGGATTCATGCATGCAATCATGTATGTCCGAACTCAAACCAAAGCTCAAATTTTCAAAAACAAGTGTTTTTAAGAAACAAATCTTAAAATGGAAAGAAATGCGAGACGGACATTGAATCGGGGTGAGCTATAATTCTTAATTGTATAATATTGCATGCTAGAAAAAGCTAAAGTTATATGTATTTGATGAATGTACTTGCATGCTAGAATTGATTGAAAAGGGATAAATGTCGAATGTATGCACATACTATGTACTTGATCTTTTTATGATGAGAAAGTATGCACGTAGGAATAATAGCATGCCTTTAAGAAAGTATGCATGTAGGAATAATAGCATGCCTTTTGCCATGAGTAAGGATTTGATGTAAGCAAATAACAAATTGAATGCTTTAAAGCTATGCATGATTAGAATCAAAAATAGGCTTGGAATTTTTTACTTAGCCTTACCAAGTTTTCTTGTTTGATTGTTGCCTAGGGTAGAGTTAATTATTTGAAAGTCTATTTCCTTTCTAGTATGCTCTTTCTCTTCTTTCTATTGATGGGGAATATCCCTAAGGTAGGAAATTTATTAGTTTATTTATGAATTAGGATTTTCAAACTACTCTATTGTTCTAGCTAGTACCTAAAACAAACATCACCTATGATCAAATTTAACAAATATCAGAAAATGAGACAACTTACTACTCAACAAGACAAAATGCTCCATCAACCCTAAGACAAACAAGCTAAACTAATAGAACATATACTTAAAACTTTCATCCTACTAATCAATAATCACAAATTCACAATCCTTTTAGCCAATATGATAACCCTTGATGCAATCGCAAAAGCTTCTCTCCTATCACCAATACTTGCATCATTAACTTTGCGATGTGCAATCTCCAAATGCTCATTTCCTGTTTCCAACAAGATATAGGCCAATACCAAACCAAACATCACACAATTTTTTTCTTCCAAAATCCTCATGAAATTTCTCTCGAAAATTCTTCCAAATTTCCACATCTTTAACGCATAATTTCCCTTCATATGATCCATAACCATAAGATCTCCAATTCCCTTCAATTGATGCTTAAACATCGGAGCATCCATGAGATTCAAAAGGTCTATGTTGTTGATATGTAGAGACTCCATACATTTTAGGAACATCAAATATGATTTGAGACCCGTATACTTGAGATGTGTCTTATACAAAAACCCCTTCAAACTTTCACCATTAGTGTTTTTACAAGAGGCGTAGAGAATCACATACAATGTAGATTTGAAGAGAGGAACTATTTCCAAACATCTTTTGATTGTCTTAATGATTTCTAGCTCGGGATGAAATTCATCAAAAGGGAACTCAAATGAGTAGAAATCGCTGAATTTCTCTTTAAGAAAATTACCTTTCTGCTGATTCTGTGAATAACCTTAGGTAACTTGAAGCTAGGTATGTATATCCTATCGCTTTTCTCAAATCACTTGTGTTATGATTTATCTCCATGGATTTGTTGTTTCCTATGGTGATCTTGTAGTCATCGAGCTCATTAACATCAACAATGTTGGCAAGATCCACAAGCTCTCTTTCGTATTCATCCATTAATCTAGACCCATTTTCGTCTATCAGATTATAAGCTAAGATCATCAAACATGCTACAGATTTCTGTGATACTCCATTATGTATTGCCTTGAATGTTTTTCTACCTAATGATACTGTTTCAGCTAACGAGAGTTTTTTTAACCTAAAGATTTTGAGATTTCGAAGCTCTTTTTCAGTCCAATCTTTCTTATTCACGCCAAAGGAGTGAACAAGTGGAACATCTGGAAAATCTGGAAAATGATCATCGTAACTACTCCAAGGTTCCTCAGCAAATCGTTTCACTCTTTCGAAAAAATCATCATTTTTTCCTCTTTTCAGATCCCTTATTAAAGGATGTAGAGCTTCACCTTCCATTTCTGAGTCGTTTGAATCTCCAACATTTGATTTTGAACCACCGCCGCGTTGTATCGCCATCTTTTGAAGCGCCGCCGAATTGAGATTTATTAGCTCTTTATCCGGCCGATCTTTCTTATTCTCGCCAAAGAAGTTAACAATTGGAATATCTGGAAAATGATCATCATAACACTCACTAGGTGCCTCCGCAAATCGTTTCACTCTTTCTAGAATATCATCATGTTTTCCTCTTTTCAGAGCCCTTATGTGAGCAGGTAGAACTTCACCTTCCATTTCTGAGTCGTTTGAATCTCCTACATTTGCTTCTGTAGCACTGCTGCCTTGGACTCCTAATCTCCTACTCCGCTTCATCGCCACCGCCGCCGTGGACTCCTAATCGGAATACGTATCCGTCGGATGTGCGGTCGAGAATCGAGATCATGTAAGCACAGTCCACAACCCTAATTTCCTTTCTAAGTTTCATAACTCCAATCAGTACACCAACGAGCCTGACCAGATATGGGCTTAAAATGGGCTCAATTATTGCAATGCTACTCCTACACGCTACGAAATATGATAAGCAAGAGCATGTTTCTAATGGGTCTAAAGCATCTCCAATATTAAATAAAGTATATTATTATTTAATTCTTTTGTCGGATTATTATTCTAATAATTTTGACATCTAATTAAATGATCTCTCTAATGGTTGGGTTTTTTTATAGTTTTTTCATGAATTTAACTTATTAATCGTTATATATCTAAGTCACTCAACTATAGTCGGCACATGGCTGAAAATATCTCTAACGGAGTCACCAATGAATACATGACGATCAATCTGCTGCAGATATAGTTGGAGGTGTCACTTGTGAGGGAAGAGATTGCAAACGACCTTCGTGAACTACGATGCAGCATCACTAGAGACTTGGACACCCTAAACCATGAAGTCGATGATGTTAAGGCAGGTCAGCTCGATCTATCTAACATGGTTGCTGATTTGAAGAAGCATTTGTGTTCACTACAAGCGTCATAGTCAACATCGTCTTGGGTAAAAACAAGCGCAACAAAGTCAAATGGATTCTTGGGGTTTTTGTTGTTGCTATTGTGGGGGTGTTAACCTACAAGTTCTTAAAATGACAGAAGAACTTTAGGTTACAACATTTCTATCTTGGGTTTCTATTTTGTTTTGATGTGCATCTGGTTTATTCTCCTTATTAGTAAGGCGTTTTGTTCCTTGTCTTTCGGTTTCTGTTGGTAATATTTGGTGGTCATGCTTGGTGTTTTTGTGATCATGTTGCTGTGATGATCAGTTTTTTGATGGTAATCACAGGTGATGGTAGTCGTATATAGTAAGATGCAGTTAGAAATCCTGTTTTAACTTGTGTAATAGACGTAAAGATGTAACAGAAACCCATGAATGAAATGTTGGTTAAGTTAAAATGTTCTTGTTATAAATCTAAATGTGCATATGTCATGAAGTAATACCCAGATTTTTTGTTGATGTTCTTCCTGGGACCACATGACAAAGTCAAACTTTTTAAACAAACAAAACATGAACCCCAATGTTTCTCTTGGGGACATGGGGCAAAAAAGAAGAATATAATACACGAGGCATGTAATACCCAGATTTGTCGTTGTCTATAACCTAGAAATGGAAAACAATGGAAAAGTTCTTTTTTGTTGTTTTTGTGGTTGCCCACTTGGATAATTGCCTGGAAGAAATGAAATACCCCTAATGGGTTAAGTCAAATAAAAAATAATGACTAAAATACCCCTAATGGGTTAAGTCACATAAAAATATTCACTGAAATACCCCTGATGGGTTAAGTCACATAAAAAATAATGACTGAAATACCCCTATTTGTTTAACTAATTAAAATGACACTGATACCCCTAACAAGACTGTAATTAATCTAACTTCTTTGATTGACTAAAATACCCTACTTTATTAATTACGTGAAATAGCATACACCTATTGGATTAACTGATTCGAATGACTAAAGTACCCCTAAACTAACATTAACATGCCATGTTGAAATATTTGTAATGACTAAAGTACCTCGTACACACTAATATAAATAAGATCATACATATTGTAAATATATACACGAATCTAAATATCAAATTTTAAGATTGGTATAACATACATGAACATAACAAATATAAATTCCCTTGTTCAATCCACATAACCGACACACAATTAAAATTGTAATTAATCTAACTCCATTGGCGATCCAACACTAGTACCTTCACCTTCAACTATTTTAGCAAGCTTTAGTTTAAGAATTCTCTCAGACTTTTTCCTCTTGCTTGGTTGACCTGTAGTAGACACATGCCCAACAACTTGATTAACCCTACCCAGTTCCTCAGCTTCATTAACCCTCACCACTTGCTCAGATTCGTCTACCCTCATAACTTCCTCAACTTTGTGGCTCAACTGCATCAACCATAGCAGCATCTTCTCCACCCCTTGCATATTCACTAACTCTCGTGTTTGCATGATCTTTTGTTTCTTTGTGACATTAGTTTTAGGAAGCCTTATCACTTGAGTGCAAGTGGTCTTGTTGTGTCCTTTCTGTTTGCATATGCCACAAGAAACCTTTTTCCCTGCCTTTGAAACCATGTGTTTTCCAGACCTTTCAGAAGCATCCCTTATTCTTTTTCATGGTTAGCCTGCCTGTCATTCTTCTTTTTAATGGAGGCAATGGAAGTATAAAGTTTGTAGAAGGCCACATGTTCATCCCATTCATGCCATTAATGGACTGTTTGTAGGTATTATGGAAGAAGGCTCCCATGTACAATGGGTCTACATATGGTCCATAAGGTGTGATGTTTAAATACACTAATGTAGCTACTAAATGAACACAACCATACCCATTTAGTTGTCATAACCTGCAACTGCATTCCTTTTTTGTGACATCAACAATGTACGACTCATCCATTTTCCTTGTTTCAAACTTCATACCCCACAAGACACAACCTGCCAATGCCTACATAATGTAATGCAAATGTTTAGAGTTGAGAAAGGTAAGGTATGTATGAATAAATAAGTGTTCAAACCTTTACTCATTTTGGAGAATATTCAAGCTTGTTCTGATGTTTGGACAAACAGAATAACGTTCCCATCCTTGACCTGTTAGTTTCATAGTCACCATCCTTTGCATCACACACACACACACATATATATATATATATATATATATATATATATATATATATATATATATATATGAATGTCCTCTAACATTATGATAATAGGTTTCTTCCTAGCATCCAAAATCACACTATTAAAGCTCTCTGAAAAGCCATTCTCCATAGATTCACAAGATGAATTGTGAACTCCAAAAAAAGCTAGAGACCAAGTTTTTAGATCTCTATCCATAAGATGCTTAATGGCTTCGAGATTCAACTTTTTAATCTCTTTCATGACTATGTTAAAATGTGCTTTAGTTGTTTCCTTTCTTGATCTCCAAAACAAATTTTTAAACTTGGCCCTACTAAACTTCTTTCCAAAATTGGCATATATATGCCTAGCACACTGCCTATGTTCTGCTGGGAATACTACTTTGACTGCCTCAACCAAACCCTGCATATGTACCAGGAATAGATGAAGTTAGAAATGTAAATATTTATTATACTATGTTTAATATTTTACAAACATACCTTGTGTTGATCTGAAATTAAAACCAAACCACTTCCTTCATTCCAACACTACAAATCTTCTAAAAGATTTTCAATGAACCATTTCCAAATCTCCTAGTTTTCCACACATACAACTACCCAAGCAATTGGGAATATTCCATTGTTAGCATCCCTACCAACAGCACAAAGCAACTCACATTGGCAAAAACTTTTCAGGAAACAACCATCCAAGTTAATGATCCTTCTACACCCTCCCTTCCACCCCTCTTTGACTGCAGCAAAGCATATGTAAATATTGTTGAAGTAATTCTTACCATTAGGCATTGCATCCACATAAATTTTAACAGTGGATCCAGGATTGAATCTTTTAATCTCTTCACCATAAGACCATATAATTTTCTGCAACCGTGCCTTTAGCTAGACTCAATGCATACTTCTTGGCTCTCCTACACTGTCTCATACTCACAACAATGCCAAAAGTGGTTTTCACCTCCTCTCTAAGTAATCTCACGCACATCTTTTGATTGTTAAAAAATTGTTGGGTAAAGTGGGTACCTATCCATTTATACGTGACAATTGATCCGAATTTGAAATTCTTTGAACAATTATGGTCACTAATAAGAGACTTGATCTGGAAAGACTAATCATCACTCATCCATGAACCCCAAACCCTAAATGTACATTTTCCATCACAACATTTGGCTAGCAACCGTCTACTATCATTTTTCACAAAACATAATTGATAACCATTTGCAACAACATAGTTACAGAGCATGTGTTTCAATTGTTTAGGACTCTCAAACCTCATACCTAACACAGGTTCCTGCTCCTTCCAATGTAGCTTTTCACTGAAAATATTTGGCAACTCGTGATAAACATCTTCATTGTCATCCATGGCTTCTTCCAAAGGGTCACCCAAACATGCATTCTCACCCATGTCGACATCAGGGCCATTATCCTTTTTGAAAAAATGAGGGCTGCTATGGTCATCCTCATTTTCATCAGCATCCACATCCTCATCCTCATGGTCATCCCCATCCCCATCCTCATCATCATCTTCATCTTCATCCTCATCCTCATCCAAATGGCTTGTCTCAATTTCCTTAATTAGTCCCGCACCATCAATCACTTCTTCCACTATGTTATCAACAACCTCATATTTGTGTTCATCCAACCATTCTTGCATGTTACTTTTACCAGAATGGTCTACATACATAGGGAGTATAACACCATATTCTTAAGTTATTGCTATAAAATCGGCATAATCCATCTCATTGGAAATTACGGTCAAACCTTTGGGAAAATCAATATATGGTTGGCAGTAATAGAGTTTCTCACACTTTTCTCCAGTGAACCTTTCGATAAACTAACACCCATTCGTGTCCATGCCTGTAACATCGATGTCCGACAACCTCTGAGTAATCCCCCTGGTGTAGCGTATGGGGTATTTTGTGAAGATTCCTTGGAAGTGCACATCGACTTGGATGAATACAGGATCCATGTTTGAGGTTTGAGGAGACGAAAGCAAGTAAGGGTTTATCGAAAGAGATGGAAGTGGTGAACAGTCGACGGGAAAAGATCTCGTTTAAGTAAAGCTATTATTAAATGACATTGCATACACAATCAGCAAGACAAGGGGTTTAAGTAACGCAGGTGACATAAATATGACCGGCTGACCCCTTCATAAATGAAATAATGACGAAATCGACCCGATAAAATAAAATCCGTGTAACATCCCAAAATTCAAGGCCAAAAATTTCATTTTTAAATAAGTTATTATAAAACCAACAGTATAAGAAAACAACCATAATATCATGTCATGTCAAAACCAAAGTAGAAGTAATCAAAACATGTTATCATAAAACAATATCAGTGTGTAATCCCAAAGATCTCATGTGCGGAAAACCATAGTGTGATGCGCTGCGATCGAGTCGGCTCATTTCCTTTGAAAACGAAGTACCTGAAACCAAAACTGAAAACCGTAAGCACGAAGCTTAGTGAGTTCCCCCATCATGCCACATACCATACAATCACATAGCATACATACTACCGAGCAATTCTGGGGTGCCCGACCTACCCATGTCAAGCCATTCTGGGGTGCTGATTACCTGTGTCAAGCTATTCTGGGGTACTGACTACCCATGTCAGACCATTCTGGGGTGCCTGCCTACCCTTCGGTCTATCTCACCCGGTCACGGGGA